CGCTTGGCGTTCTCCAGGTTGCGGAAGATCTCGTCCGGCGGGAGGACGATGCTCTTGTCCAGGCGGCCGCTGACGGCGACGCCGCTGCCGCTGCTTGTCCCGCCTCGCCCGCCCCGGTCCGCCATTTTGGACGCATCGACCCAGCTTCGCCGTGCCCCCGGCCTCCTTAGGCATGCAAATTTATGCGCATACGCTTTGCGTGCTGAGGAGGTGGGCGGGGCCAGCCATTCAGCCCCGCCACCGAGGAGGAAGGGAAGGGAAAGACCCCGCCTTGATCCGGTTTCATTTGTGGCCTTTTTGGGGGGGGGGGGTAGGGCTTCAATCCGGATTCACTCCGGATCCGAAAAATCAAAACAGCTGTATTTCTAAAAAATGTTTCAATCTCTGCACTGATAGGTGTCCCTCTGCAGGGCAGCCCTTCAGATTTGTTGCTGTCCTGTTTAGAGAGGGTGCCTTTGCTGATATGACTGACAGGGTGTATATAAATTTTTATTGCTATGAGAACTAGAGAGAAAATGTTGCAATCACCTTGAAAGAAGGATTCATATAGGAGGTTTTTTTATGTTCTGCCTTTTTATAATCTTGCTGATCTGCGACGGTAACACAGAATGATGAAGATGAAAAATGTTTCAGTGTAATTTAATTTTTTAAAATTTTTTGGGTTTGGTTCATTAATTGTTTAATATGTGTGTGAGAGAGTGTATATTACGTATGCATGCAAGAATTTAATTAACATTAAAATTAAATATATGCATTTAATTACACACATACAATAATATAGGTCTATAATTAAATTTATATATATACATACATATGTGTGTGTGTGTGTGTATACACACACACCCCTCGATCAATAGAAGGCCATGGAATCTGGAGGCACAGGAAACAGGAAAGAGCTTCCCCCCCCCGCATATCCAAAGCACCGCAGTGCAATTAATATGATGCAACATTAATATAATAAAGCATAGATAGGTAGAGAGCTTCCCAATTTGACACACCTAGTTTCAGGAGTTTGCCTAGTAAATGCTTGTAAATTTGCCGAAAGCAGGGAGCAAGCTTGCCAACATTTAAACAGGTTTGAATGGGTTTGTGCCTAGTATTTTATAATTTCTCTCTCTCCCCCCTCCCCCAAAAGAAAAAGTAAATAAAAGGAGTGAATCTTTTTTCTACCCCATCCAATTTCACAGCCTCAGGCACAATCTGATTTGGAAGTTTGCTTTGGGTCACCCTGGGAACCGAACCTGGTTGGATCAGTTCAGCTGAGACCCCCATACAGACCAGTCTGAATGGTGGCAGTTTGGTTAGTAATTTGATGCATCGCCTGAGAAGGGAAATAACAAGGGAGAGCAAAAATCGAGAAAAGCCACTCAAAAGGGTCACCTGTTGATAGGGACGGCGTACCAGGATGCGAAGGCTGGAGATCCGGTCTGTAAACGCAAGGTGGCAGCACACCGAAGGGACAGGTCCTTTTATCCGGGAACAGGCTGGGGGCGTTGGGAGTCCATGAAAGAAAGCCACTTTCCTTATATACTGGTAACACATTTCAGTGTAAAAAAACAGTGTGGCTCTGTTTTGTTGTGTACCACACCACCTAACTGTGAAGGACACCCCTCCGTCCTTGACATGGATCATCTATTTTGTAGCTTGGGTCTTGGGCACTTCCGCGATAGCGTCCAAAGCGTTAGGATGATGCCCGGAAGGTTGGCAGAATGCAGCCTCTAATGTAGAATTCTACTTGCTTTGTACTTGGAGGTGTGTGAGAGCAACAACTTGCTGTTCCTAAACTTCAGAAGTCTGGGAAATGGACCTGTGTATGTCAGGTAATCTGGGCTGCATTTATGAGATTAAGGCATAAAGGATCTGGTGTTTACGTGTAACATTAAACTTGGCTAATGGGAAACAGCCCTCGTATCTAGTGCAAACATGTGCAAAGTTTGAACATTGAGCCCTTTTGAGTCGTACGGAATCAGATCAAAAAGCAAATTGAAGGCTATGCATATTTCCTTACACGTGCTGATGTAATCCACTTAATACCAAAGGATTCACGGGATACATTTAGGTAAGCCATTTATTATGATGATGATGGTGGTGTTTTTCAATAATTGTGCAAAGGATGTATGTAGAAAAAAAACCATAGCAGTCTACAGAGTTTGTGTATTATACATAATACCTTCATTGCAGTAAACCGTAAACATTTAGCAGCCATATTACAATTATGATATCGCTGGCATTTCATAGAATGTTCAGGTTTTTCTTTTTTTAAAAAAAAATCACTTTTTTGGCATCCTGTAAGGATAGTAAACCATCTCCATGGTTCACAACATGTTCATGGAACATTTCAATCACAATACGTGAATACAGCCTATAAATATTATAGAACGTCCTTACGGCCAAGATAGAAACGGGCTGTATTTTTTTCAAAAGGGCATGTCCCTCACAGAACACAGAAGCTTCTCAAACATCTTCTAAAACCCTTGAGAGCTGCAGCTTAAGTCAGGATGCTGAACATTTGCACTCTCCTGATGTTGTTGCCAGTGTGCGCATGCGCCTCGTGTGTAGAGGGGCGCGCGTATTCTGGAGAGAGGGGAACCACCAAGCCTTTTTGAAAAATCCAATCAGCCCCGAAAGCTTCATAGAAGTTACTGCTTTGCATTCAAGCGAACAAACCTAACGCCACCCTCACCCAATCCCCACCCACCTAGCTTATCCCCTCATAAAAATTAAACCTCATTGAGATTTAAAAATGATATTTCCCCTTCCTGTTGGAAGAACAATGTAGAAACCTCCTTATGCAAGAATGACTCCAGTCCATTCTATTAGAATATGTTTTTCCCCCAATCCTCCAGAAAACAAGAGAGAACTTAGTTTTTTCACTCTGATATTACATTAAAGCACATAATATGATGATCTCCCCAACTAATTCTGGGTCTGGAGAGGCTGATTTTTCTCAAATAAATTGTATGCAACCCAGCTTTGACGGAGCAAAGTGGCTGTAATGTACTTGTCTGGATAGTTCTGTTCTGGAAGAAAGGTAAAGGGGAAGCTGATGGGTCATCATCTTAGAATTGCAGCGCAGGAAGGGACCCCGTGAATCATGGAGTCCGGCCTCCAGCAAGGAGGCCGCGTGGGGGGAATCGAACTCCCAACCTCTGGCTCCACAGCCACAGACCTCAACCACTGAGCTCTCCAGCCGTTCATTGTCCTTGATGGCCGGCGCCCAAGACCTCTGGATGTGTCTTAAGAGCTTGGTCTGTACATCAAGAGTTTCTTGAAAGTGTGGTCAAGAACTGGTGAATTTCCTATAATCCTGCACAAAGCTTGCAGTAGAAGAGACTATTCCTGCAAAAGAGAGAGAGAAGCGATTTAGTGATACAATGATGAAGCGGCAGTTGGCATACAGTGAGGCGCAATAGCTATTGAACCAGGCAACAGGTGAAATACGATTTAATAGACCTGCCTCAGAAGATCTAGGAACTCTCGGTAAAAAACTGAGGGCCCTCTCACACGACGGTGCGGTCGTCTTTGTCAGCCAAATGCTCTATTTCCATTCATGCTAAGCCGACTGGGGTATACTGTGCAGACGGAGAAGATACAGCCGGAGTAGCACTTACGTTGCATTTTAGGGAGTCAAACTCCATTGCCAGCATTTCAAGCTTCTCTGCTTGGACAAGCTGTTCACCGCTGGAATTCCTTCTGAAAGAGACGTTTCGGTGGCTTGGTGTCGTAGCTTGGCCTTCTGTGACTGCGGATCCAGAGGAGAGAAAACAGAATTTTATTTATTCATTTTCTTGCTTTCAGGATGCTTGGTTCTCTCTTTCCAAGTCCGGACCCACCCATTCTGAGCACTTACCCCTTGTTTTTTTTCCCCCCTTTGGCCGAGAAGACAGCGTAACGCCGCAACCCCTGGGCTACTGTGATTCAGCTCCTCAAACAAAGCCTGGCTTTCCGATGTGTGGCGTGGACGCCACTGGGCTTCTATTTATAACCCAGAAGTTGTGTACAAAGCTCTGTGAGTTTCCCACACTTTCCGACCAATCACGACCGGTCTTTGGGAAAAAATCAAGGAGGCATCTATTGTAGGGCGGTAAATTGAGTGTGAAGAATTGCCTAGGGAGAGTTCGGAGTCACAATGCAAGGAATGGCAAGGAGCAGGTGGACGGGGCAACGTGGGTCACCCAGGGGAGGGGGGGGACACGGCTTTGAGAATAATCAGGCAGGAACGTGGGAAAAGCATGGCATCTATTATCAAACAGGAGCCTCTAGGAATTCAATATCTCCATATGGTGGCTTCCTTCCCTCCCCAGCTGCAGAGAAATTATTGGCGTGGCCAACACCCGAAACTGAGTCTTGCTGAAGTCCCAAGGGGGAGGGGTCCTTTGGAAAAGGTGTAAAGGGGGCTGAAAAAGAGAGGAAGACATTTTGTTGATTTTTTTCTTCAAAAAACACATTTGTATTACATCAGTATATTGATCAGTGGCTGGCCAGATAGCTCAGTGGGTTTAGGTCCCTGGCTGCAGAGCCAAAGGTTGGGAGTTCGATTCCCCCACTGGGCCTCCTGGGAGAAGAGCCAGCCTTGGTAGCCTTGGTCCAGCTGCACACAGTCCCAGGGCTCCCCCTAGAGGAAGGGAAGGGGAAAGGCACTTCTGAGTCTTCTCTGTTTCTTTGAAAGAAAAGGTTGCCGTAACTCAGAACTAACTTGACGGCACATGCTCTGGAGCAGCATATAATCAGCATACTTTATAATGAGCGCATACCGCAGATATAAATCCAGAGATGCTCTCCCGCCCTTAAAAAAAGCATGCTCTTCCTATGTTCAAGTTCTCTTGAACAGTCCCTGCTGAGTGCTCACCAGATGGCGTGAAAAGCACGCATGGGGTGTTTCCAGAGCAACCCCCAAGAATAGGGCATGGTGTGGGAAACAGAGAAGATTTGCGGCTTCGCGTTTTCTCCGATGAATGGGGGATCAGTTACTCCTGCCCTGAGCAGCAACCCCCATTTATGGTCGGCAGGTGGGGGAGAGAGAGAGATAAATACAATAACTTCTCTGCTTTTTCCAAACCCTTCTGCTCTCCCTCTTTTCACGGATGGCTTCGTTCCTCAAAGCAAAACCACTGGTTCTCCTTTTGGATTGTTAATCCTTCCTAAGACGGAGTGCCTCGGAGTTAAGCTT